TGCTAAGTTCACCCATCTCCTTGTTATCAAGCAGTTGTGCTCATGCATTCAAAATACTAAATTTTGGACTAGAAACCTTGTTCTTGGTAATCTTGAACTTTTTTGTCATCAAGTAATTGTGATCATGCATTCAAAATACTAAATGTTGGAATAGAAAACTTGTTCTTGGTAAATAAGAATTAAAATTGTCTTATAAACGACCTTTTACAAATGGGAGTTCCGATCGTCATTAATTCGCATATGACCATGATTCTTGGGCCAAAATTATTTTGTTCTCAATCTGACAAGTTGTCTTGTCCTTTTAGGTTAGAATTACTTTATTTCTTATATTTGCTTTATACGACAGTGCTGGTGTTGTATATTGACCAAAATCACGGTCAGTTAATGTCCAGTGTGTTATCCTACGGTCCATGTTATTTTACTGTAGGCCTAGTAATTATTCAATTATTTAAAGCGGAGACATCTGAACCAAGAACCATGGTCATGACTAATATAGGACAACTTCGTTATCAGTGAAAAGAAAAGTAAAATCGTACATTTTTTTAAATCAAGGTAGCGCCGTTATTCTTCGTGTGCAGGAAGATAAAAAAGATATTTTTAAAAGATTATTTAAGATAAGAAATCATGATATTTATCCATTTTTTTAATCATTGATTGATTACAAGTCGACTACTTTACCTAAGTGATCTTTGTGTTCGTTATACTTTAAAAATAAAATTGTTGTCTTGAAGAGGTAATAGAATACCCACCTGGTTTGGTTTGGCGAGGAAGCCAGGCTTCTGTAACGACAGGTGTCATTCTGTCCTCCCTCTGTGACCCCAAGTAAAGTCAGAACACTGAAGATATAATATACTTCCTTCATTTTTACTAGATTTCCACTGCATTAATAGAAACTGTCAGTTTTTGTGAACTCCACAATTCTGACGACGCGCCTTAAATGTCAAGGTAGCTGTGCGCTCAATGCATGTATTTATACAAACCCCTTACATTCTAGACGGAAATACAATAGTATTATTTGTGAATTAAAACATTTTTTAAACTTTTAAATTTGTAAACATGTTTACACTTAGTTTGGTGATTTGATTTTGTACGCATCAACAAATCACACAAAATATCCTTAAGGATATCCGATCCTCAGCCAGGAAGGATAACTCCAAAAATTAATATTTCATTCGAAATGCATCAAAATGAAGCTTGAAAATGAAATTTTTTCATGCAACAATTTCATTTTATTTATCTTTATAAGATTCATGGTTTTCTGAAGTCTTAGAAAAGGTCTTGTAAAAGTTGACATTTGTACCCTATAAAAGGAAAACAGTTTATACAGTTTTAGAGAAATAAGATTTTCTTGAATCCAGCCTTAGATACCAATGCTTATTAGCATGATATGAAATCAGAAGTGATTTTTGGTGTCTTGCAATGATAGTAAAAGCCTTTTACACAATGTATTATAGAATACATGACAGAAATATAAGACAAAAAATACCAAATAAGTATAAAAACCAGGACAATTTCTCTGAATGCCTGGTTACCCATAGTTTTTTAACCTAAAATATATTTGTTAATCAATTTGCAATTGGACAATGCATGGCTGATATTCCAATTCGCTTTTTCTACAAAAATATTGGAGATTTGACATTTTTCCCAATATAATATGATTAACTTTAATCTTTAACTTTAAAGAAATACTGTGGATAAATTTACATAACTTTGTGGATTTAGAGATACTTTTATGAGTATTTTTGATTACTTAACTGCTAATTTTATAAACCTGAGGATCGGACTACCTTAATCCGACAACTACAAACCGGAGTATATATATAGTATATAGTTTTATCAAATTATTCTTTTAAAATGTGTCTCGTGTACGACGTTTGTTACTTAAAACCGGGATTTTTAAAAATATAACATGTTGTAAAATATGTCCACCTTAACGTAAGAGATGATGGAGGTACATGTACCAAAGGCACCAACCACAAGGGCCTTAAGAAAGGGTTATCTTCCACCATCTGATAATTTTTATACCTCCGTAATCAAAGATTAGGGAGGTATATCGTTTTTGTCCTGTCTGTTTATCTGTCTATTTATCTCTATGTCTGTCTGTCTGCAGCAAAAACTGCAAAAAAAAAAATCTTCTATTATGGGGGCATAAAAAGTTTAAACAATGACCATAACCTTAAGATTAGTCAGTGATAGGCCTTTTACATGTGTTCTGTATGCAGCATTATTTTCGCCCTTTTATAATGGCTGGCAATTTTGTCCCGTTTTAAATTCGCCCAGTCACAGTTCGGTTTAAGAATTAATACTGTACTGTTCTTTTAATTCGCCCCGTATTAAATTCGCTCGATCACTTGTGACAAGGGCGAACATTTCCCTGTAGGCAGTATACTTGTCACAAGACCTTTCTCTGGGTATCACCAAATTTGACCCTAATTGACATTGACCTTAGAGTTTTAACTTTGGTCATAAAATTTGAACAGTTATATAGAACTTGGTCTTTCATCATTCAAAGGTTTATTACTTATGACAAGACCTTCCTTTGGACATGAACAAGGTTTGTCCTTCTGACCTTAAACCATTGTTAGTAGTATAAACCGCCTAGCTAGTGCGGAAGTGACGTCATAACCGGAAGTGGCCGGAACTGGTCTAGCGGAAGCGGAAGTGGGCGGAAGTGGTCTAGCGGAAGTGGGCCCTAGCGGAAGTGGTCTAGCCAGAAATGTCCTAGCCGGAAGCAGGCTGGATGACCGGGTCAACTGAGTGGAGTGCTAACCCTAACCCCCTATCCCTAACTAGCCCTAACTAATCCTAACCCCCTAACCCTAACCCTAACTAACCCTATCCCCTAACCCTAACCCTAACCCTAACTAACCCTAACTAACCCTAACCCCCTAACTAACCCTATCCCCTAACCTATCCCTAAATACTGGAGTTGTTTACACAGTGTTTTTACATTGGTACTTAGGTACTACGTTTTGTTTATGCTGACTATACAGGTAAATGCGCCGTGTGCAAAAACATTTCAAGAATGTGATTATGACGTCAGGCTTCACAGTCTAGACATTCCTCTAACCAGATCAAACTGGATTTTTTTTTTTTAACATTTTTATCTTTTAATAATAATAATAATTTCCCTCTTTTTTATGAAATAAATTCACATCAAATATATATTTTTAAACATTTATTTTTTCATCAAAACAATAACACATACATACATACATACACTTAATATCCACAAGTTATGTACACCTGTTTGTTATAAGTATGTGCAAATTGTTCAATATAATGTCTATAATGATCCCGATTTCCTGCTAGTCCACAACATAATCCAAAAGGAAAAGCATAAGTCTGGTAAGGTAAACTACCCATTTGTTGTAAACAAGCTTGAAACCATTTCTCTCTATTATATGCTGTGTCCTGATAAGTGGAAATTCTTCTAGGTTTGTGACTTGGTTTTCCATAATCCCATTGAGATAGTAAACAAATGACCACAGGGGTTTGTGAAGGAAACACCTTAATAGTGCCTGGAATTCCTCTATCTTCTTCTACAGCTATATTTGGAAATATCGAAGCTGTGCGGGTGGCATAGAGATTGGCTTGTGGGAATTTCTCTGCAATAATTTGACTCAATCCATAAGCTTTTACAGACAAACAATCACATTGATGAACAATAGCTTCTACCTCACAGTTGAGTAAATCACCTTGTATCTCCTGGACACTCATGATGTAAAATGAAGCTATGTTTTAAAACACCTTTGTTTTTATACCCCTCACACCTTTGCAAAAAGATAAGGGCCGTGTGCAAAAAAAAATATGCTGACTGCACAGGTAAATACTGGCGCCGTGTGCAAAGAAATATACGATAGACCTACGTTTTTTGTTTATGCTGACTGCACAGGTAAATGCGCCGTGTGCAAAAAAAAACATTGCAAGAATGTGATTATGACGTCACGCTTCACAGTCTAGCCTAGCCTAACTAGTTCAAACTGGATTTTTTACTTACACATAAATAACAAAGAAAACACAGATTTTTTTTTTTTCATTCTTTATTTGTAACAACAAACAACAACAAACAACAAACAACATATTTACAATACATTTTGATAAAAACATTGACACTTTTGTCCATGACCCGTAGGTAATTTATGATAAGTGTTTTTAAACCAATTCGCTACGTATCTGTCCCTTTGTAAAGCCGTACTCTGGTCAAAAGGGAATAGCCATTCGTTGGCTTTCTTTCTTTTCTTTTCTCTTTGATGTAAATAATACACGCAATATTGTCCACACACATCGGTATTCCAGTCTTGATAGCGATACGGATTATAAATCCATTGCTGAGCATGACGCTGGATAAAATCTTGAATTTCTTTTTGTAAGGGAGGAAATCCATAAGAATCGAAATATTCCACCACGGGATTGCTCACATACAGACACACCCAATGTTCTCCAGGTCGATCTTGAGGATCCGTATTGACCACCACAGCTTTTTCTCCAGGTCTTAATTGATCCGGTAATAAATCTACAGGATACACCCCTCCAAAAGAACTCTTGAATTCTCTGGATAAGACTTCTCTCAATTGTCCCGTATCCATTAGTAATCAATGCTCACTTCTCTCTGTTTGTTAATTTCTAATAGGTTATCGAATTCTGCATACACCACACAATTTAAGGTGTTAGGTGTATTGTTGGTAAACTGCACTTCTACTCTCAGATTTCCTGTTTCTATGATGTGGAATTTATCCGATTGCGCCTCTTGATCTTTAGTGAAATCCCAGCCCCATAGAGTGTAGCCGCTTTTATACTCTTCTAAGGTGATGTCTGGAGCCCAATCTTCTCCTAATTTTCCCAGGGCTTGATACAGACTGAGATAAGATCTCAGATATAAATCGTCGTTGAAATTAGGCTCAAAACAACGAGTACTCATGGTCTCTCCGTTGATACTGACATCTAATTTCTTGATCCCAAAGTTTTGGAAATGAAAGGGATTTTTAGTTTGATCTCCGTTAAAAGGCGGCATTCTCCACAAAGCCTAAAATGAGCCGTTTAGGCATCTGGCCTTGAAACAGATGATCCGTAATCTTAGACTGAGTTCCTGTGGGGATGGTAAAGGTTTTCACTTCCACTCTTCTCAAGGGATATTTGGCTCTGTGGGTATTCAAACTCTGATTAATGGCATTCATCATGACTGGTGTGGGTTTGACTTTTCTCACCCACAAGACCATACTCAAAATTTTCACTTTTCCTGTACTTCCTCCTTTGATCATCATGTAGAAAGCAGGTCTAGCTCGATTAAATCGCAAACGGACGTCCACTCCATTAGGTAGAAATCGATCTTGTTGAAACAAATCCAGATGTAAACGATCCAGCAAACTGATTTTCTTACTGTCAGCAATAGCTTGGTGTCTTTTTCGGAATCCTTCGTTTTTAGAATTGACTGGTAACGCTGTGAGGATGGGTTCGTCAATGGTCACCGTGTCTTTACTTGAACCTTTAGTTACATCAAAGGTCTTATTTTGAGCTACACCAAGAGCCTCTAACCCCACTTCGTCCATATGTCCTGCCGTATCTTTTTCCCACAGACTACAGGCCCTCGCCTGTGTCTTTAATGTTCTGGGTCGGTAAGATAATAATTTCTCCAGATAAGCTTTGTAAGGATAGGTATCCGTCCCTGGAGTCACTATTTTTCCATTCAGACTGACATCGATTTCCGTAAACATGGAATGTAAGATATTATTCACGGGACTCGAAGTGCTGTTCGCCCCAGTCAGATTACTTCCATCGTCTTTGGTAAATTTACATACCATTTGAAGATAAGTTTGAGATAAATCCAGATGGTGATCTCCTTGTCCTTTAATTTCAAATTCGATGGGAGCGGTGTCGGAATCTAAAGTACTGGAAATAGGGTAATATTCTTCCCATTTCGAGTCTTCTAAAGCAATATTAGTGGGAGGGACTTCAAACAATTGTAAATTGTTCATCCCACACGCACAGGAATCGGGTTGTAACATGATGTGTCTACTAGGATTCAGTTTTCACAAATGAACCTTCTGTTCACTGGACTGGCCTATTTATACTCTCTCTCTCTCTCTCTCAGTCAAACACATCTAAAGGACGTTTTCTTTTAGGAATTCCTCCTCCTTGTGTTTTCTTTTTTCTCTTAGGACCTCCTCGGGCTAACATAGGGGTCTTTTTTCTTCTGTTGTTAGTACCTCCTAGATTCATTCTTTGTTTCACCATTCCCGAAGTATTTTTTAGAGCTTGTACTCCGTGAGTTTTGACTGCGTCTTTTAAAGATCTCTTATTTTCTAATACGTCTAATCCCGTTCTAGCAGCAGCAGTCAAGGCGTGTTTAGCTCCGGTTTTCAGCAAATCAGTAAAAAATCCTCGACCTCTCTGTCGTCTTCTTTTTCTTCTTGTTATTTTAATCACCATTCCCGATCCTCTCTGTTTTTTCATTCCTTTTCTTCTTCTTCTTCTGTTAGTACCTCCTAGATTCATTCTTTGTTTCACCATTCCCGAAGTATTTTTTAGAGCTTGTACTCCGTGAGTTTTTATCTTTCTTATTTTCTAATACGTCTAATCCCGTTCTAGCAGCAGCAGTCAAGGCGTGTTTAGCTCCGGTTTTAGTAAAACATAAAGAATCCTTCCCCTCTTTGATAGTTTTGGGGTGGATAATAGACTGGTGGTTGTGGGGGTGGGGCTTGCTGTTGACCCAATAATCCTCCTACTAGATTGCTGACTAAAGGAGCTGCTCTTTTTGGGGTCCTAAAAAACCGTGTCCTTTTTAGTAATAACCCTTTATGATAGACAAACTGTCCGTGTCCTCTTTGTCTCAGTAATCCCGGGGTGATCTGCTGGTTCATGCTCGTTCAACTGACCTTTCTATCCTCGGGGGACTTCCTTTTATACCCTTTACGGCTGAATACAATACAGACAGCAGACCAGACAAGCCACCACACCCAGTAAGATGGAACACAATAACGGTACACTCATCTCAGTAGACTTTTCTGAAATGAAGTTTCACCACTGATTTGCCACTTACAAAGGGCATGGGTTGTCCTAAAAGGGGTCATGATGTGAATCTCAATGGTATCGAAATGTTTTTTACTTATTTAAATATTCCGCTAATGGGTTCCCATTTGGTTGTTTTGAATCCTCCAAATGAAATGTACAAGGCACCACTTTAATAATTTCAAGGCATTGGAGCCTACCGTCTGGGGTTAATAAGTCACAATGACATCATGGATTTCAGATTTTCATATAAATCCACAGTATTGTTTTCCCCAAATAACTAATGTTGATCCATTTGGTCATGTTTTCTGTATCTTCTGAAGAATGACTTTCTGACTGTCCATGCCTAGCTTATAAGCTAGGGATTAAAAAATCATAAGGGAGTAAGCATTTTTTCATTGATTTCATACATCACTCATATAGGGCTGTAATATACTAATTTCATAATTTGTCTTCATTTCCATCACTAAGGGTTTTCCATAATTTTTTCAATGATCTCTGTAGTCCTAGACTTATTTCCTCTGTTAAAGCCTTGGGGTGAACATAAGGCCCGGGTCTAAGTGAATTTTCTAATTTCCATCTTCCTATCTAGTTCAACGAGTGCAGGCCGTCTAGTATGGGCCCAATCGAGCAGTACAGGACATTGACGTAATGGCATTGGGTCTAAGGTTTTCATTTTAAGGGGGATGTACAAGCCATATTGGATCTAGTCTGGTGTAAAATAAGAAATACCAAGAATGCGCTTAATACACTTCTAAACTAGCCCAAAGTTACTCAAAGTGTTAATGCACTAATTACCTACTGTTAAAACCAAAATTAGTAAATAATTTAAATTTATTTTGTTTTAATTAAAAATTTAAACATGTTAGAACTGCGCAGCTACAGCATTCACGAGATGAAAAATGCATTTAAAATGGTGTTGTTTATTCATTCATAATATGGCTACAACCATTTGTTTCGCTTTTTTCTTGTCATTATCCATAATTCTTGAAAATTTATTTTTCTTTGGGGGTCTTTCCCGAGGCCATGTGTTTATTTCGTCCGCCATTCCTCTGTCACACGAGTTCGAATAAC